GCCTCCTCGAGGCCCAGGGAGCAAGGGCACCCGGGGGATGGAGATGGCACGCGTGCCGTGCAGCTGTTTGTGCTGGCCAAGGGAGAGCTGCAGATCTGTTTTACATCCCGGCCCGCGGCACTCTCTGGGCACGATCGCCCGCCCCGATAAACCCCCGGGAGCCATGGGATTCGGAGCCGCTTATGGAAAAACAAACGAGCATCTCAAGCCAAGGCAGTGACTTCATGGGCAGGGAGCAGCCAGGCGCAGACAGGGACCCCTTGTTCTGCTGCCTCGCGGGACCACCAGAAGGGCAGACATCATCACTTCTGCTCCACAAACAGAGAGCTGGGCTCTGCACCACCGCCCTCCTGGGAGCGAGACCCCGACAGCCTGCGCCAGGCCACAGCCCTGCCGGAGATCCCCATCTGAGCAGATCCCTTAGCCCAGAGCTCCCAACGCTCCTCCAGGCCTGTACTTGCAGCCTCAGCCCTCTGGGAAGGATGGGGCCGTTCCTGACCCTAAACAAGCTTCTGCTCCGCTTTGCAATCTCAAATTGCACCAGAAGGTTTTAAGGAATCCAGAGCACCCAGCCCTATGGTACTGCCCTGCTCCGACCCACCTCCCGGGGTCCTGTGCACCCAAAGGGCCAGGCCCTGCCTGCCCTGAGGGCCACGGGAATGAGTGCAGGCTCAGGAGCCGTTGTTTTTCTGGGAAGGGCAATTTAGGCTTGGGGCATTTGGGGGGGGCTGGCTCAGGGTGGCACCGGCCCACCAGAGAGCACAGGGATGTTGCACCCAGGCTCAGTTCTCCAGAGCCTCCCTCTCATCCACGTTGGCCCTCATCGCACTCAGGACCTGGCCACAGCACGACGACCACTCCCCGATGCCCAACGTGGTCACTGGAGGAAGCCGCGTTGCCACAGGTGGAGCAAACCGCTGCATGCATCCATCGGTGCATCCCATACCAGGGACTATTGCTATGTTCCCCTCTCTTCCCTCCAGAAGCAGATAGCACCCCCAAACCCAGAGCAGGGTGCATGCTCCTCTCCCCTCTCCCAGCTCAGTGGCCTGCAAGGGGACCAGGAGCGTTTAGGACTCAGTAGATATGAGCCGGCAGTCTCCCAGAGGGGAGCTGGGCACACAGGGGGCCTAAGGGCTGCATGCCCAGGGGTGGGAGCCATCCCCACAAGGGGATTGTTTTATTCCCCTGCCCAATTTATGGCCTGGCATATTTTTGTGAATGGAGGAGAGTAACCCGAGAGCAGCCCAGGAAGACCGCGGAGGGAGCGGAGCAGATGGAGACCTCGGCGGGCGCGGGAAGGTCGCCAGCCAGGCAGGGGCACCGAGGATGCAGGCGGCCGTGAGCGACGCGGCCAGATGCACTGGGCCGTCATTGCTGGGAGGTTACGCAGACGCCAAGAAACACGAGATGGAAAAGACCTATGAAGTCATCGGTTCCAGCCCCTCCAAACAGGGCAGGATTGTCCTGACGCTACAGGACCCCGCGCCACTGCCAGACCCGCTCTAAAGTCTCCGATGGGGCTTTGACCACCTGCCCTGGGAGGATAATCCCTCCTGCTCCACAAACAGATCTCCCCACCCCCAACGCTTCGTTTTCCTGCTACTCGTGCAGATCTCTGCAGCCCAGCCCCGGGGCGCAGCACGCGAGTGCCTCAGGATCTGTGGGGTTTTCATCTTTGCAAATCCCCAGGGGCAGGACCAGAGTGGACGCGGACTTTCAGAGAACATAAACACCTTGCCCAAGGTCATGCGAAAAGCCTGTGGCAGAGAAGGGACTGTAAGCCCGGTCCACAGCCATAACCCCTGAGTAATCCTTCCTCTTGCTCCTGACTATCTGCCCTTCTTGGCCAGGCCCCTGCAGAGGGGAAACCCAGTGCACCAGCTGCAGACTTGACAGCAGTGTCTCATGAGATGGGCTGCTAGGCTTGTAGTCTGTGCACCTTCTTCCACAGGAGCAAGGCAGCTCCCATGCCCTGGCCGCTACGCCGGCACTGCCGTTGTACCATCACACTCGCCGTTCACCCAGCCAACTCCCCCTCTCCTAGGCCAGGCGTGCTCAGCCCCCAGCTCGCAGGCTATATCTAGCCCATGGAGCCGTGTCTTCTGGTCTGCAGCGCTCCCCTGGCTCCAAAAACTGGGCAGTGAGGGAGCAGTGGCTGCTCTCCTGCTGCCAAATTTCCAGACCCACGGGCCGGATAGCATGGCCCTATCCACTAAATGAGGTGCATGGGGGAGACGACTTGGAGCCCAATCTGGGTGCTGAGCCAGGCCCACAGAGGCCCAATCCTGACACGTGGGGGCCAATCCAGCCTGCAGACCAGCTCCACACCACTCATTCAGCCCATGAGGCCAAAAAGGTAGAGAGCACCCGCTGTCCTAGACAAAACCCCAAGCATCCCTGCAACATCCAAGGGTCAGTGGCAAAGAAGGGGTGGGAGATGCTGCCCTTTTCCCCCAGCTGGCACCGGGAGCCCCTGAGCTCACACATTGCAAGGGCTTTGCAGCACTCTCCGTCTCAGGGCTTCGTGCATGAGCCCTTCCCCGGCACGCTCTCCTCCACCCCCAGCGCCGGCAAAGGCAGCTTGCAAAAAAGAGCACGTCATGACTGATGGATGAGGCGGCCGCACCGCGTCTGGGGACAGGATGTGGCTAGGAAGGGTTTAACCAGCCACCACGGACGGGCTGCCAGCGAGGAAAGCCAGGCTGGAACGGTGCCCCCGGCAAGACCTACTGGCTCACAGATCCTGGAGCTGGATGCACCAGGGCTTCACCTCCGCGGTCCCTATAATTAGGGAAAAGGTTCCTGGGGCTGTCAGCAGGATGCATTCCTCAGCAATTATCTCGCAGTCAGAGGAGGGCATTGCCCTGGCACCACCTGCATGGACCTGAGACCACAGGGATGGGCAGAGCAGGAGAAGCAGAAGGGGATAGACAGGCAGCCCTGGCTGCTAGGCCCTGGGAAATTATCGACCCCATCCTCTGCGGCTTCCTGCAGGAGGGTACCCACGCTCCTCTCAGTTCAAAGAAAGCTTCCTACGCTGGAGCTCTTGGCTCGGGGGTGGGACACGTTGGCCCAATTGCAATTATTAAGACACTTAAAGCGCGTTTAACCTGGGAGCCTTTATTCTCCCCTTTCAATGTAACCACTAATTCCTCCTAAATGGCCTGCTCTGTGCCCGGAGCGAGACAAAGGCTGCAATGTTTCGCCTGAAACGGCACATGTTGCCGGCACTGGAGCGGCCGAGGGGAAGGTGCAGCCTCCGAGGGGAAATCAAGCACGGCGGCTGCTCTCCAGGACCACGCCACGCAACGCCAACCCGCCTTGCTCCTCCGGAGAAGGCCTCCCGATGCCTTGGGGCAGCCCAGGGTTGACCCCCTGCCCCAGCCTGGCCGGCTGGACTTTGCACCGGCCTCTTCTGCTGAATGAACGCGGGAGCCCCCCGCTAGTCTCCATTGTGTGCGCAGAGAAAAACTGCGCCGAATACCACGGGATTGGCTCCGTCTGCTCCAGGGAGGCTTGGCCACACCGCAAGCTGGAGAGGCACTGGCAGGGCTGCATGGGGGATGCTTGGGAGAGGGAGGAGGGACCCCGGGCAGGACTGATGTGCATCCACAGACCTGTGTGTGGGGCCCCGGCATACCAGCAGAGAGGGGCAGGGGCAATGATCCCCTTTCTCCTGACCACGGAGCTCCCCCATACCCCCAAAGAGGGGGAAAGAAACCCCAGCAGCCATCTGTGTCCCAACCACCCTGGGAGAGGGCAATCCCCTGCTAGGCGCCTCTCCTTGGCTGCCTTCCCTGCAGGAGCCCGGCAGGGACTTCAAGTTAAAGCGTGGTTCATCCTAAAGTTATGCTTTTTTTTTTTTTTTTTTTGCAACCAGCTATTCAATCTCCCCAGGCCAAACCCGCTCCAAGGGTGTAATCCAGGGCTGGAAGCGCAGTCAGCAGGGGTGAATTTGGCCCCATCTGCATAGCAATAACATATAACATCACTTTCCTTGGAAGCCAGCATGCCTCAGACGCGGTATTGATCCAACAAAATACACCCCCTGGCAAGAGCCTGGCTTGAGCCTTCACCAAATGGTTCTTATAAACTCCTTGCATCGCATACGGCGAACCCAGCCCCCCGCTCGGCGTGCGCTCGGTTTGTCCGGCCAACTCCGCGCCACATTCTTCAGATGCCAAGCAGGGTTTATCAGCGCCGAGAAGATCTGGGCCTCCTCGGAGACCTCCAGCTGCACAGATAGTTGAGGATTTCTTAACACTTAATTCCTCTAAGAAAAAGGAGTTGCGGGAGGAAGTCTTTCCCAACACTGGCTTGTGTCAAGGCTCCCCCGTCCCAGTATGAGGTTATCTCTGCGTACAGGCCCAATGGGTAAAACAGATGGCAAAAGCACATGTAAAAGCCATCCACTCCTTCAGGGCGGAGGAGAGAAAGCCCCATAAAGCAGAGCACAAAGGGAGAAACACAAACACATTTTTAGCATGCCGGGCTGCCAAAGGGAGGATGAGACGGGAACGGTTTGCTCCTATCCCCCAAACAGCCGCAGCAAAAACCTCTTGCTCGCGGATACCAAGGGGGGAACAAAAAAATAAATTAAAAAAAAAAAAATCAAACCCAACAAGCAAAGGAGGAGGTGGGAGAAAGCCAGGCCCAATACGCAGTGGATACGCAGCCCCTAGCACCCACGTGCTATCGGCTGCTTGAAATGCAGCCTGTAATTAAACAGCTGTGTTTGCTTTAATGCACGATTTGGAGTTTGTTTAAACACAATTTTTTTAAGTGCCGCGAGCATCGGGATTAATATATTTCTTAAATATTTTGCTGCGGCTGACAATGCTTTTTTGATCTGTGAAAGGGGAGGAGGAGTGGGGAGGGAAAGGCAACGGGACGGTTTTGGGCGAGGGAAATTGAATGGAGAATCAACACTCATCAGACGTCGGGACGTGTGCAGATATCCCAGATGCCAAAAAAAAAAAGCTGGCCGTAAACAAGAGATGGACCGTGTTGCATCTGAACCAGCAACCGCCGCAAATGCACGTGCAAAGAGTTTGCAATGGTGCCCTCCTGGGTCTCGTGAGCAGGATGTGCGTGCAGCTGGGCCGGGTATAAAGCTGGGTTTAACAGCTGGAGATGCAAGTCCCAGCAAACTGGGCAGGTAGGTGACTCAAGCTACTGCCATGCTTTAGTTGCTGGAAGGGGGAGGAAGACCCAGCCTGGGGTCATAGCAGGTAGCTGTCAATGCACCAACCCCGATCCCACCCAGCACGGCGGTGCAGTTGTGTTAGCCCTGGGCCCGCTTGTTCCTGCCGTGCCCCGGTTCTCGGCTGCCACGTGCATCTGCACGTACAGAAATCTGGTTCTGCCTGGACCCGAACAGACCCAAACTCCAGTGCCACCCACCTTCCTCCCCCAGCTGCGGGGCCCTGCCGCCTCCATCCCAGACCCTGAGCCCCCGCAGAGGAGAGGCACGAGAGCTGTCCTGTGTCCCCAGGCCAGAAGACAGGCAGAGGCAGCTCCCCTATGCTGAACCCAGAAGGGCTCCGAGGCTGCCCCTGCTCCCGGACTCCTGTGATCGCTGCATGAATCTCATTGGAAAGAGGAGGGGAAAAATCCTGTCTCTGCTGGTTGCGGAGAGAAAAAGAGCTTGAAAACACCCAATGGCTCAGACACCCAAAGACACTTCTGCGTTTCCAATCGTAGGATTCGGGTGCCAGAATTAGGATTCACTTGGGGTTTGCCTGGCTGAGGTCAGCGTTGGCATCACCCAGGCATGCTAGTGCCCTGCAAAACCGCCGGCAGCAGAGCAGGAAAGCAGCCACGGATCTGTGCCCTGCCAGCCTTCCCCACGCCCTTCCTGCTCGGTCCCTGGGGACGGAGGCCGAGGCAGCCAGGAGCTGGGAAAGCATCTTGGGGAACTGCAAGCAGACACAGCAGTGCCAGGCATCTGTACACCCGGGCGTGACTCAGTGCAAGACTTGGGGAGGCAGTCAGCAAAGCCTCCTCCCTCCAGGGACACAGCAGCACAGATGCAACCTAAAGAGCTGGAAGCCGAAGCCCCTGGAGCCGAGTCCCGGCTTCCCAAGCTCCGTTGTCTCCCTTCCCCCAGCAGCCACTGCCGAGACCTGTGCCAGACCCGGGCAGGAGTGGGGCTGAGCAGGCAGTAAACCTTTCCTTGCCAGGGTCCAGAGAACAGCCTGGCCTCTTGCCAGGACCACGCTTTGCCCCAAGTGGCTGCTCTATTCATACCAGAGCAGTGCCCCTGGAAGCTTGCTGGGTGCCCGTGGGTTGCTGTCACCCCGTGCATACAACCCAGCTCGCACAGAGAGGTTTAGCAACTGCTGGCTTCAGGGGGCAAAACTCCACCAGCCATGGTAGGACTCTGCTGGCTGCATTGGACCTGCAGCAAGCAAGTAGGGAATCCCCCCACCTTGGCAAAGCTGGGGCAGCAAACTCAGGGCAAAGGCAGCCCCTGCTCCTGGCTGAGCATGCTGGCATGATTTAATAGGAACCAGAGCATGACAGCAGGCTCCCTGCCCAACTGCGCTGTCCAGCAGGAGCTACTTGCTGCCTGAGAGCTCCTGCTCCCCCGAGGGCAGACTCAGCAGGCGGAGGAGAACCTGACACCGAGCGTGGCAGCAGGGCCCACGCCGCAAAGCTGAGAGCCAGCCGAGCAGAGCCAGGAGATGCTCAGACAGACACGCATGCCGGTCTTCTCTGCTGCATGGGGAAGCCGGCCTGCCAGCTATGCAGAGCAGCAGTGCGCAGGCTGGGGTTAAGCCCTTGGACAGGTCCCCATCCTGGCTGCAAAGGGGCTGCATTCCCAAAACTGGCAGAGAGCAAATCCAGGCACCCTTCTTCTTGCCCCAGCCACCAAGGGGACAGCACACCCCCTTCCTAGGAGCAGCCAGACAGCTCTCCCAGGCAGCAACAGGACAGCTGTGCCCTTGCCGGCGGTCGGGTCAGCGACCACCCCAGCGTTGACCCTGGAGGCAGCTCCGGTGCCAGGTGCATTTATTGCTGCTTAACCCTGCCGGGCAGCTCAGGCACTCGGTCACAAGATGTGCAAGCATTTGCCTCCACGCCCTGGGTTCAAGTCCTTTGATTCAAATCACCGCGCTGCGGGTATCTCATCTCTGCCGATGTGCGTGCCGTTGGCTTGCAAAGTTCTCTATTGCCCTCTACTGGGACCGGGGCAGAGAGACCGGTGCCCGAGGCCCTGCACGCGCACTCGGACGCGGAGAAAGCATCCCTGCCCCCTAGACCAAGGGGGGGACCCAGCTCAGAGGCCCTCCGAGCCTGTTCATCCATGTCTCGGGGCACGGGAAAGCCACAGTAGACGTGGCCAGGAGAGGGAGGTGCAGTGCAGGATGCTGCCAAGAGCAAAGCACCACCCAAGCTCAGGGCTTCTCATGCCCCATGGGGTAACGGGCCAGCTGGACCCCCAGCTGGGCAGCATCACAGGGGCATGTCCCCCTGGCCTCTGTGCCATGATGGGCAGTTGCTGTCAGGCTTGCCCTGCCTGCTCCATCGTGCTAGTGCCTGGAAAGGAGACTGCGAGGCCAGCTCAGAAGGGCCCTGAGCAGCAAGTGGGCCAGCCAGCTTCAGCAGGGTACTGCCCTACACATGCCAGCTCCCACTCATGAGCCACGCAGGAGCTCTCCCCACTGCGAGGTCCCCACGGATGCATCACAGATTCTGCACCCCAGCAGGAGGCTTCTTCCGTCATCACCATTTCCCCTCTTGCAAACCACTCGGTGCAGTCCTTGAAACCAGACAGGACTCTGAAAGCAAAAAATCAGAAGACAAAACCCACGGCCTAGTACATATAGTATGGGGACTGGAGTCATAGCATGTGTGTGTGTGTGGGGGGGCGGTTGCACGTGTGTGGGTGCATGCATGTGGGTGTGTATGTGCATGTGTTTGTGGGTATGTGAGGGTGTGCGTGTGTGTGGGTGTATACATGTGTGCGCAGGTGCAAGAAAGTACATGTGTGCATGCATGTATGTGCATGTGTTTGTGCGTGGGTACATGCATGTGGATGTGTACATATATGTTTGTGGGCATGTGCGGGTACGTGCATGTGGGGGGGACGCAAGCATGTGGGCATATACATGCATGTGTGTGGGTGCAGGTATGTACATGTGTTTGTGTGAGCATGCATGTGTGGGTACATGCATACATATGGGTGTGCACACGTGTAGGCGCATGTGTGTGGATGCATGAATGTGGGAGTGTGCATGTGTGTTTGCATGTGTGCACAGGTAGCTGCAGCCCGTGCCAGGCGCCAGTGCACTGGTACATCTGTAGCAGCCTTTGCCAAGGGCTCATCTGGCTTTGCAAATTGCTAGAAAGGTCCAAACAGCAAGAGCTGGAAGGAGAAGCCTCCCCGACTCCTGGCTGCAGTTGGTTGCCGCTTGCAGTCGCTCACCTGAAGCCCACGCCTTCCCCAAAAGTCCTTCGAGATGGGCTGGGGGAGGAATTCCCACCATGACAAAATGCTCCAAGCCTAACCAATGCTGCCAGGCCCTGCACATCCCCATGGCAAGGAACAGCTCCCACCCCACGGGCTGGTTAGACAGGGCGGGAGGGCCTGTTATCCACATATGATAGCGGGGAGCAGGGGCAGAGGGTTGTGCCCAGATCACAGGGGAATCTGGGGTTGAGCGAGGAAGCAAGTGCGAGGTTCTTGGGTGAGCCTGTTGCCGCCGCCATGATCCCACACTCCCCCTCCGGCTCTGCAGGGCTCCGACAGATGCATGGTCTCTGCTCGGTCTATTCGACAGAGCAAAGAGGGCCTGGAGCCCTCTGACCTGCATGAGCCTAGGAGCCGAGCCGGCCCCGGCTTCCTCCAAGCGGAGCTGATGGAGTCCAGGCTGCGTCTTCCCCAGCCCCTTGGCTGATTGCTCCCCTCCACCATCAGCAGGGCCCCAGCCAGGATCGAGCTGGCTTCTGGGGCAAAGCCCAACACCTTCAGCGCCCCAATGTGAGCCTGACATCACAGCTGCTGGCACGCATGGACAAATTTGTGCACAAAAACCCAAACCCCTTCAGGGTCCTTAATGTCCATGAGCACAGGGCTGGCATTCGCAGAGCCGCCATTGCAACTGCTTCAGTGAACCGCTGTCCGGCGGCGAGTGCTCGGCGTAGAGCCAAGGGGGAGGTATCCCCTTGTAAGGGAGGGGGCTCAGGATTTCCCCAGCCAGGCCCAGGGCAGGAAGGGAGCTCAGCCCAATTTCATAGGGCCCAGACTGTCCTTGCCCCATCAGCCATGGAGACATCCCGTGCCCCCTGGCATCTGGACGGAGGCCCTTGCAAAGGCTGTCCTGGTGGCTGTCCTTCCTTGTAGACCCGCAGGCTCTTTGCCAACACTCAGGGAAGCCTCAAACACCCTGAGACCAGGCACAGCCTTATTCCCATTTTACAGAAGGGAAAACCTGGGCCTCTGGCTTGCGTCATGGAGGGAAGCCTCAGCCAAGCCAGGGATGAAACCCAGACCCCCGGACTCCTTGACAGCAGTTTCAAGGCCAAGAGGCACCACGGTGATGATCTAAATCGGGCCTCGAGCACAGCACAGAGCAGAGAATTAATCCGGTGCCGCGACCGCAAGGCTATCCTTCCTGGCCCTCCGGCTACTAAATCAGACTCCATCCCCTGGAGCAGGATAAAGGGAGACAGCAAGAAGCCGCCTCTCGCTAACGATCTTCCAGAGGAGTATAACTAATGGCGTGTGAGCCGCTCCAAGCAGCAGGGGAGAGAGGGAAGGGGAAAAAAGAGCCCATTCTTCAGCTTCTGTCTCTGCAGAAGATATTGAATTTAGATTAGACTTAATCCTCCGGCAGACAGTGAGCGAGAGCCCAGGCCACGGGGAGCAGGCTGCACATGCCCGGCTGGAACATGCACGCACCGACGCGCTGTGCAGACCTCTCCGCTCCAGGCCCCAACGATGGGGAGAGAAGGGCTTTCCCCCACCTCCCCAGAGCATCCCAAAGCACTGCGAGGCGGGGAGAAGAGCCCCGACACCAAGACACCTGTTCCACCCTCTGTCCCCCATCTCCCAAGACTAAGCATCTCGGTGGGGATTAGCTCTCCAGTAGCAAAGGTGCCTCTCCAACCAACTCAGAAAGGGGATTAACCAAGGGAACAAGCCCTCCCTGGGGAGCTCATGAATCCACCACTGGTAGGCATCTCTGCACCGAGCTTTCCAAAAAAACCAGACATGCTGCCTTGCAGCCAGGAACGAGGGGCGGATGCGGCAGTAGCTGGGCAGCATTCCCCAGGCTGCGTGGTGCCGGCCGGATTCGTGCAGTATTTTCTACGTTTAAAATCCAAGTAATGCACACCGGGAGAGCTAGACCTTTGGGATGGGGCCCAAACTAGAGCCAGGCAAAGCAAAGGACAGAAGGCAGGGAGACTCGCCAACTTGGATGCCTGGGGACCGGTCTGGTACCACGGTCAGGTCCAGACCTGCAAGGAGCCGATATTGTACGGAGGCGAGTGCCAATAGTTCTCAGGGAGGCAGAAATGCCCTCTGGGCTTGCAAGATGCTGACATGGAGGAGCCCCAGGGCAGTGCAGAGGGGAGACAAGACCCCCTTCCGCTCCTCGGTGGGGCACGGCGGCTTCGCAGCGCCGTTTCGATGCACCCTGCAATGCAGCAGTGCAGACCGCAGTCCCACCTTGCTAGAGAAAGGCAACGTGGGCGAGGCAGGTAAGCAGCAAGAGGGCACCCAGCTCACTTCCCAGAGCTGTTGGCACCGGGAGAGCTGCCATCGTAGCCCCTCCAAGCTGCAGGGTTGTGGAGGGCGCCCCTCGATTGCTGCCTGCCCCGGATGGGTGGCAGAAAGGAATGAGCTGGCCGTCACGGGAGGTCTCCCTTTGAAGCACAGGCCCGGTGGCAGGTGTTGTGAATGGGGAGCTATGGGGGCTCGAAGAAACAGGTGCACTGTCCTCCTGCAGAGCTCAAAGGGTGCCTCTCCCCCTTCATTACCCTGCCTGGCAGCACAGGGCAGGGAGGATGCTCGTGTGCTGGGGAAGGGTGCACGGCCGTGGAGCGGGAGCTAGGGCAGGTGAACAGGGAGAGAGGAAAAGCAGCGGTAGGATGGGCAGGGAGACCGCACAGGCCCAGTTACCCCGGGAAACCCTCGACGGGCTCCACCCAGCCGCCCGCGCTGTGTTGGCAGGGTTTCCATACCAACCCTGAGCGTCAGCCAAGGGAGCAGCTGTGCCTCCCTCCCCAGCTCCGCCGCCTGTGACCCCCGCCCGGGCTTGCTCTCACAGCCATGAACATCGTCCTCTCCAGGTAAGGTGCCTTGCCCCCCTCACCCCACCTGCCCATCCTGGGCAAGGCGCTGCAGCGAGGGGGCCGATCCCCCCGAACCAAGTCACCTCAAACCTTCCCTTCTGCACCGTGGGTGCAAGCACGGCCGCTTTGCTCCCGGGGCGGCGCATGCACGCTGCAAGGACCCACCTGGAAAGCCAACACCAGAAAGGGCTCCTTCACACCAGTGAAGGAGAGGTGCCCTAAGTGCCAAGAAAGTGTCCCTGGGGAGGAAAGCCTGGAGATGGGCCAAGAAGGGATATTGTGGGTGTAGGTGACAGTGATGGCAAGTTTGCATGAAGACGACAAGGGGGCAGGGGTGTTTTATCCCAGCTGCTCCTCTACCCAGAAAGATCCAAGGGATTATTATGAACTTCAGAGTCGGGAGCTGCCTGTAGCCGTCAGCTCCTCGAGAGACCCCAGCTGGAAAGGAGTGATTGTTTTGCTTGAGGTTTTGTGCATCCCCGCCAGGCTGCCGGCCAAAGGGCTCAGCGTGCTCATCCCTGCACCGCAGCTGCTTGCACCCTGGTCCCTGCTACGCACCAACGCTGCAGCAGTCGTGCTGGCTCAGCTGGCACTGCCTGCAGATGCACACAGCAGTGACTGCACCAGGGAGGCCAGGTCCTGCATCCAAGGGAACAAAGCAGCCCCGCATGGACACAGGGCTCTCGCTTCGGGCTGCAAAAGCAACCCTTTGCATTGTCCTCTCAGCTCTGAGGGTACAAGGTGGAGGAGGTGTCTCCCATCTACATCCTCCGGTTGAGAAACATGTGTAAAGCAGCAGCACTAGAAGTGCTGCATCTGCTGGCGCTGCAAGCCTGTCAAATGTCATGTGGCCTGTGCCAGATCCATGCGTTTTGCAGCAGGACTAGCACCAAGATCCTGCTGTAGGCTCTGCAGGGCCTCAAGGAAGAGAAAACACTCGGTCCCCAGAGATCCCCAGGCAGGAGGAGTCTGGCTGCAACTTCCTTCCTCCCCCGGCTCCACTGCCAAAGGGGGAGGACCTAGAAAAGATGCCTCTTTCTCCCTCCCCAGAAGGCAGATTTTTTTTTTTAAATGAATATATTTTGCGTTCCAGGTCAAATCAGCTAAATCGGGTCCAACTCATATCGATTGAGCAGAATGCAATCGTTCCAAAAACCGTATCGATTGAGCAGGCAGAACTCAAATGCTCTAAACACCATGTACGGCACTATGACTGGCGAGCATCCTCCATCCCAGGCTCTCACCCTGGGACTTCAGATGCTCCTAAACACACTAGCAGGCATCCTACATGCAGGTCCAAGCCGGCAAGGTCTGTCCCCACCGAGACACTTGATGTGAGCCAAAAGGTTAGCAAAACCCATCCCTGGAAGGCAGATTAGGCATTAGCCAAGGTCGCGTCCCTCCTGCTCGCCAGAGACAGTTCAGGCCAGGCTGCAAGGTGCCTACTGCTGCATCTCATTGCCTCCTCCCTCGTTAGGCTAATTCACAACTTACAGCTAGCGAGAGCATCATGGCTGGGGACTGGCTCCTCTTTCTCAGGGCTCACAGGCACCTTGCACCTGTGACCCAGAAACCTTCTCCAGACCCCTAACGGGGGTGGAAAAGATGGGTATTTTAACCCAAAGGAAAATGTCCCTCCAGGGAGTTTCATGTGGCCCACAACGGTCTGGTTGGGCTAAATCTGCAAACCAAAGAGGGCTCAGGGAGCAGGCACTGGTTACCGCAACATTATCGATTCTTTTCTAAACACCAAATAAGGCCCACAAGTATTTCCTATTCTTCTGCTGGCTTTATTTTCCAAATCTGAAGCTGTCCCAGGAGCGTGTGGGAAACAGGGGAACATTATAAAGTTCCCCACAAAAAATCTAACTAGCATTTTATTCTTTGACCTGCTGTGGCCAGACCTCAGTGATAGGGGATGAGAAGAAACCCCTCTTGAGACACCTTTCTCTCCCACTATGGCTTGTAGGAGACCCCCGGAGACGGGCCCTATGAGACAGCCTCACTTTAAAGCACAAAAAAAGCAGTGTTTTCAGGGAAGCAGAGCCAGACAGATGTTGGGGACAGATGACTTGTCCTCTGCCATCCCACCAGTGCTCCCCTAGCCAGGCTCACAAGGGCTTTCCACTAGCTCCTTCAGGAAAACACCTCACCTTCAGCCTGGCAGCACGCCGGTCTCCAACTCAGTGGTCTTCAACCTTTTTAGGCTCAAGGCACCCCTTGATCCTTCGGAAAATGCCAGCTCCTTGTTTTCACTTGTTTTTTGACCCGACAAAAACAACAAAATAATTGTTCTGTTGCAAAAAACTCTGAATATCCCGCAACAGGTCAGCCTGGTCTTGAACAGCAGGGATTCCTGTTTGAAATAGTCTCGTAAGTCTTGGTTGCACACCTAACGGTGCTTGAAAGGATCTCATGGCCCCCTGGTTGAGGATCACTGCTCTGACTTCCCATTCCCACTAGGTTTTCACCCAAGATTGTCAGCAGATTGTTCCTGAATTGTTCCATCCTATATACTTCAGCTCCATCAACACGTATCAGTAGGCAGGTGACATCGCTCCCCACCTCTCCTCCTTAGCCAAGCTGCATTCATTTAATCTCCCTGCACCTTTTCCCCCCAGTGTCAAGCCCTCCACCCACCCCCGGTCATGCTTGCTTGCAGGTCCCTGAACTCCCTCCTGGTAACAAGCTCCCAGAATTGAATGCAATCAAGTCGCACTGCAAACATGACTGGCTCTACCAAGTAGGGGATATGGGAAAGACTCGGGCAGCAAAGTCTTTGCTGCAGTGAGCCCACAAGGTCCAGGCACAGCCCTGAGCTGCCAAAGGCAGAGAGCACACTAGAAAGCCCTCTCTGCACAAACGTGATTTATTCTCAGCACAGCACCGGGTCGCAGGGGATGGGGAGGCAGTTAACTGCAGCGCCAAGACCAGAGAAATTTAAGGCCCTGCTGGTCTTTTGTGTCAAGCTCGCGTGATGGAGATGGAGAGGGAGGGAGATCAGCAGGTTTTATTAGGTGAGGCACAGCTGCAGGACTCGGAGCAGAGCCGCTGGGGGAAATAGGCATGGAGTCCACCGGCAGCAGGATCCTTCCCGTCCTTCCAAGACTGGAGGAGGGTCTGGCACTGATAGCTTGGCTTATAAAAAACAGTCCCTAATCGCTGCACGAGCTCACTGCTGCCATACAGGACCATGCCTGTGAGCAAAGAGGAGCTTAACACAGCTCCTGATGGCTTGCCTAGAAGGAGGTTCCTTTCGGGATCTTCTTAGGTGGAAAAGATGCCATCTAAGAACCGCCACTGACTGGGTCAGACCATCGGTCCATCCTGCCCAGCCTCCTGTGTCACGCCGCGGCAGAGAGCAAAGGCTGAAACGGAGAGTGAACTAGGTCTGACCAGGGTTTTTCCTCCCTGTTCCTCTCTCCCTTACAACCTCCAGCATTGAAGGTCTGGGATGTTTGGAGTCTAATTCCCACGCTCAATAGTGACGGATACCCCTTTCCTCCAAGAACATGTCCAGTCCCTTTTTGAGTTAGCTTCCACCTCCTCTGGTGGCAACGACGCCTACACTTTAATTGCACATTTTGTGAAAAAGAACTCCCTTTTCTTCATTTTCAACTTACCGCCTACTACTTACATGTTGTGACCCCTACTTCTTGTATAGTGAGAGAGACCATTACCTCGAGACTGCCAGAATTCAGGTTCAGGTCTCAGCCGCGGTACTGTATAGGTCAATGCGTCTCGACATTTTTGGACTCGAGAAACCCTTCATTCGACTTAAGCCACCCCTCCCTGGACTCAAGGCCCCCACTATAACTTGCAAATTAAGCAGCACCCTATTTCAACAACTAATTCATTTATTGCAATGCTTACCTCCTTGCAGAGAGACTGGGCAGTGGGGTGGGGGGTTGCTGTGGCAGAAACATGCTTGAATTTATATACTCAGTTTATATCCAAGGGATCACTATCAAAGGCACTGCAGGGTAGACTTAAAGAGATAGGGACCTGCACATCTGTATCTTCCCATCCATACTGCATAGGCCTAGCCAATGCACCAAACCATTCAACTCCATGCTAACCAGAACCTTGCTCCCACATGTTACAGCTAAGTCTGGCCACCAAACACTTCTAACACACACAGAATAACTGTCACGTGCTGTTGCCAAAAGTTGGAAGTTCAAGACAAAGACACGGCTTCTTACAGGGCCTTCTCTCTCAGTGCACGCAGAGGGGCCGCGTGCAAATTCCTTCCAGAAAACTGGTCCAACTATTTGGAAGGCAGCCTGGACCAGCTGCCTGACACTGAACGTTTCCAGCTACCAGAGCTGGCCCTTAAATAAGTCACTTTTCTCCAGAGGCAGAGATCCGCTGGGTTCTTGCATTTCTAACTTTGCTGATTCGGTGGTCAACTGACAACAGGGATCTAAATTTATGTGTGTGCAATGACCGATTGGGTGAACAGTTCTCCAATCTACACGTGCAAAAGCCCCATGACTGACACACAAAGCGGTGGTTTTCTAGATGCAAGAGAAATCATCCAACTCCAGTTTCTGATGCTAAGGCCATTGCAATGGTAATAGACAACTAAGCCAATATGCTTCCCTCCCCAGAGATAACCAAGTGAGGATCATGGAGAACACAGTAGCCAACGCAGAAAAATACTTTGGCCAGTTCTGCACGCTGATGGCCTCCTATGTCCGGAAGACTGCTAAGCTCCGGGACAAGTCAGACCTCCTGGTCAAACAGCTCCTCGACTATGCCAACACGGAGAACCCAGAGCTGAGAAGCACCATGAAAAACTTTGCGGAGGAATTAGCCAAAGTGCAGGATTACCGGCAGGCTGAGGTAAGAACCGTCCAAAACGCACAACCCTGACATGAAGCCCAGTAGCAGGGCAGAAAGCAGTAGTGCTCACACGTCTGCTTCTGTCCTAGGCCACCCATTGATGTCCTGTCCTAAGAGGGATGAAACCACAACTGCTCTCCCTGTTTGCGGGCTGAGAGTGGAGATCTGGGCAGCACTGATGAACCTTGCCAGCCTTCGAGCAAGGAACCAGGCTAAGCAGGGAGAGCGTTAGGGTTGAACATGTCTCAGCAGACAAGCAACCCCCAGTCTCCCCCTCTCCAGGGATCGTGGGACCTTTCCTTGGATTCACCTGGGGAGGAATTTGCAACCCTCTCCCATGCTCTGAATCTTGCTGGGCTTTATGGGTTCCAGGACTAGTCGTGCTTAACAGTGCTTTCCATGCCTACAACAGCCGGGTTCAAATCCAGCTCAGCCCAGCAGTGCATGTGCTGCCATTGCAGCTTAATGGCCTAGAGTAAAAAGCCTCCACTCTGGTCCTACTGAGAGGTGGCCACTATAAATTAAATTATCAGTGCCTAACAATCCCTCGAGATGGGTTCCCTACATCAGGGCTGATCACAGCAGCAGTACCATGGCCAGACCGCGAGACTCCCATCCTCATTCGGATGGAGTTTGTCACGTTCTCACTACACCCCATGTGTGAATTGCCTCTCCCCACTTAGGTAGAGAGGCTGGAAACGAAGGTCGTCGAGCCGCTGAAGCTGTACGGAGTCCGGCTCAAGCAGACACGGGTGAGTGCCACGTCACTGGACCGCCGTGGTACCCCAGAGCCAGCCAGCCCGGTACAACTACGCTTGCTCTATTCCAGGCGGAAATCAAGCGGTTCAACAGCGTCCGCAACAATGAGATAAAGCAGCTGGAGAAGCTGGAGAGGCTGCGGCAGAAGTCGCCGTCAGACCGGCACACCATCGTATCCTTCCCGATACCCGCACAGGGCCTGGGGCATGGCCTCCTGCTTGCTCACGCAGCCAAAAAGTAGCGAGCTCAGCAGCAAGGCAGGGGCAGAGGGAGGAAGCCGAGGCTCAGAGGCTTGTGTTTCACTTTGGTTTCCTCCAAATGTTTGCGCGGAGCAGTAGGGTCCCACCAAACCGATTGGAAACATCCCCTTGTCGGGAAACCGCCAACCCCAGCCAGGGAAAGCCAAAGCAGATGACAGCCTGCTGACGGCTGGGGAAGGAGCTGAGCTCAGATATCAGAGCACCATACAATGGGATTTACGGCTGGGAATCACCGACTTTCCCCACACACGTGTCCCATGTGAAAGGGGAGATTTCACACCTGCCACATCCAGACGTGGATCTGGCCATAAGAGCTCTGGGTCCCTTCCTCCCCAGAGCCCTGCTCTACAAGTCTGTCTCTGCAGGGCTTCAGCAGTATTCTCACTGTCAGCACTCACTGAATTAGGTGTGAGAGAGGAAGGGGGTGAATTTCCCTCCCCACTTCCACTCTCCAAGGGAAATTCGCCTTGTTACAGCCTCTTAGCGAGACAGAAGATTTCCTAAGGGATCATCTAGACAGCTCAAGAGATTTCCTTCTGCTTGGTAAAAAACATTTTAATGAGCAGCTCTTTCCAAAGCCTCTGGGTTTTTCCAAAGGAAGCAAGTCTCTGCTGAAAATCCCAGCAAATACTCGGGGGGGGGGGGGGCAG